GGGACTGGTTTAGCTAATAGGTAATTAGTGTAAAGAGAGCTATAACTATAGTTCATAGGCAACTTTGAGTCAGTGTACATAGTATATCTATAGCTATTAAGTTTGATCATCATAACAAAATGGTGTTGCTGATAGAATCCAAACCTATGTGAGGAAACCCTAATGGGTTTCCATTCCATCCTTAAAAGAACTTGCCAAAAGTTACATCATCCAGAATATTAAGATGAACTATGAATTTAAAGTTATTATGATGTAGAATACATTAAGGGAAACACAATACCACACATCGGCACATTGTTCTGACTACAAATTGAAAGGGAACAAAATGAAAAATCCTTAAAAAAAAGATAAGGATTAAATTTTGCATTGGATAGAAAATGGATGTGTTGCCCATGAATAGACTAGATATGGAGACATTACAAGATCCAATCTTAAGTTAAATTTTATCTAGAATAAGGAACAATAATTAGAGTAATTGTTCAAAAACAGAAAAACCATACAAAGGAATCAGACACAAGCTGTCAATAGAAAATGGTCTAATTTCTTATGTGGAGTTAGTTGTACCACAGGAAAAATGTAGAAAAGAAGTAATTAAAAGTGTACATGATGATGTGCATTGTGGGATAACAGCTAGCCACAATAAGTTACATTCTTGGTGTAAGGAAACAGAACCATGGTCTAGAATTCATATTGATCATGCACAAGTTAATAGAGTAGGTATATGTCTAATACTGCTTGACGCTTTTTCTGTCTGGCCTGAAGTTTTCTGAGTTCAGGATAAAAAATCTATTACTATAAAACAAATATTATACATAATATTTGCTAGAAATAGAGTACCAAGAACATTAGTAATGGATAATGCTCCTGAATTCTGTGATGAAACTCTATGCTTGGGGTTAAGGAAGATTGGCTGTGTCCCATATAAAACACCCTCAATCAAATGGGATTGCTAAACAAATGGTCCAAAGAATAAAGATGGGATTGAAAGCATTTTCTTCTCAGCAGGAAAAGATTAAAACTTTCCTACTAAGATTATTGTAGCGTTACAGAATGATACCACATACTGACAGATTAGAGAGTCCATCTGCATTAATGGGTAGAGAGATTTGAACTCAATATGTCTTACTCTATTAATGAAAACATATGGTACAAAGGAAATAAGGAAAATAAGCTGGAAAAGGCAAATTTCATAATGCAAAAAGGATACAACATGGCATTAATATGCAAGAATGGTAAAAATATTGTTGCTCATGCAGACCAGTTAAGAGCTAGCCAAAATTAAGAGGAAGTACAAAGAGAGGCAAGTTTGAATAACAATGTAAATGGACAAGAAAGCTGGGCAGAGGAATGAATGGATGATCAAAGTTCTTTGGAAGACTCTGAGTATGAAACATGGGGCACTGAGAATAAAAGAACTAGATCAAGGTCCCCCATAATGAGAGATACTCATGAAATTACTGAGATGGGGAATTAATGTAGGAGAAGCCATAGATCCATGCAGGCTGGGAAACCCAAAAGATTCAGGGAGATGTAATGGGATTGTTTTAACTAATAGGTAATTAGCATAAAGAGAGCTAAACTATGCTCACAGGCAACTTTGAGACAGTGTACATAGGATATCTACGGTTAATAAGTTTGATCATCATAACAAATTATTTCACATTTCAGAAATTTATTATGAATAAATCACTG